GGTAGTTGCCACAGTTCTATATAGATGGTAGGGTTCTGGAATACTTATTAGATAGATGAATAAAAAAATGAATGGTAGAAGAATGGATGGATGGATGATGGATGGAAAGAGGAATGGATGGATGGATGAAAGGATGGAAGGAAAGATGGATGAATGTGTGAATATTTGTGTATACAAACACATCTGTAATATTTACATATTATATATGCATATGGATTGCATATGCAAAATTATTGTTTTTAATTGTGAAAGTCATACACAGCTGTGGTAAAAAAATTTAAATGGAGAATCTCATAGTTGCCCTTAGTTGCTCATTCTCACTTCTCAGAGATCCCACCAGCTAATAATATGGTGACAATGGCAAGATGCCAGCCCCAACTACCCCATGGCCCAGAACAAAGGGTCCTCCACAGCATTTGAATGTGCCAGTGAGCAAGGAATAACTAGGTCCTAACCTGAATGTTCCAGACGTGGGTGTCTGGTTCTTAAAGATCTGGATCTTAAAGATCACTTTACAGTTCAATCATTGTCTTGAACCACCTCCAAATATTTTCTATTAATATCCATGTCTTGATCCAAGTAGGCTCATTAACATTCCAGAGCATCAGTCCGTATCAACTCCTTGTATTTGTACAACATCCTTTATGGTACAAAGAAGCAAGTCATGCAGATACCTGGGGGGAAGCATCCAGGTGGAGAAAAGAGAAAGTGCAAAGGCCCTGAGGTGTAAGGAAGCTTGGTCTGTGCTGGAAGCAGTGAAAGGCCTAGTGTAAATGGGGTGGATCAAGGGAGAACAAGAGCAATAAGGAATAAGCTTTTAGGGGAAGGCCAGGTATGGACGGTGGGTTGTATTATAGAAGTGATGGAGAATTGTGAATTGATGGATGCCCCTTGCCCCCTCTTTAATCTCTCCAGTGGCTTCCATTTTCATTTAGAATCTAAAGAAGGCTCTGCAGGGTCTAGCCCCATCTACCTCACCAAGCATCTCTCAGGCCTCACTCCTCCCTGCTCCAGCCCCAGACACAGCAGGTTCAGTTGTTCCTTAAATATACCTAACTCTTTCTCACATCCTGCCTCTTCTGCCCAGATGAGCCACCATGACCCCGACTCCCCTCATGTCTATATCCCGCTCTTCCTGCAGGTCTGTTTCTATGTCATTTTCTCAGAAGAGCCTCTCTTGGCCTCCTAACCAGAAGTCACCTTGCCCCAGTTATTCCTTACCGAAGCCTCTGGCCTTCATCTTTGCCATGATCATGAGCAAGAGTTACATGTTTGTCTCTGGTTTATTCCCTTCTGGTCTGGCTCCTTTGAAGATGGCCAACCCCAGGAAGGCAGGGGCCGGGCCTGTCTCACACGCTGCTGTCTCTCATCCCCTAGCCCTGCAGCCCACATATCACAGGTTCAGTAAATATCAGTAAATATCTGTTCCTGAATGAATGCTTAAAAGCAAGCACCAAGGGTGGCTCAGTCATTAAGTGTCTGCCTTTGGCTCAGGTTATGATCCCAGGGTCCCAGGATCAAGACCTGAGTTGGGCACACTGCTTGGCAGGGAGCATGCTTCTCCTGCTCCCTCTGCTGCTCCCCCCGTTTGTGCTCTCTGGTTTTCTATATCAAATAAATAAATAAAATCTTAAAAAAAAGAAAAAAAGCAAGCCCCAAGGGAGGCCCCATCAGCAGCCCTGCAGACAGGACAGGGAAGAGCCTAGAGTCCAGGATCCATGAGGGAACGACAACCATTTGGGGGAGGGAAGAGGAAAGCCTGACTTTGCAGGACCAGGAGAGACAGAAGATGTTGAGTTCAAGAGCCATTCAGGAAGTAGAAGCCACGGGATTTGATGACTGATGGGACATGAGGGAGGAGAAAGCTTTACTCTGGGGAGGGAGTAGCAGGTTCCCTGTGGCGAGCCAAATGTGAGACTCGCCCAGGGCCCCTGGATCACTACCTAAGCCAAAAGCAGATGTTCAACCACTGAACAACCCAGGTGCCACAAGGAGGATCTTTTTTTTTAAATTTATTTATGATAGTCACACTGAGAGAGAGAGAGAGAGAGAGAGAGAGAGAGGCAGAGACACAGGCAGAGGGAGAAGCAGGCTCCATGCACCGGGAGCCCGAAGTAGGACTTGATCCCGGGTCTCCAGAATCGCGCCCTGGACAAAGGCAGGCACCCAACCACTGCGCCACCCAGGGATCCCCAAGGGGGATCTTTTATAAGAGTATTAATCTCACTCATGAGGCTTCACCCTCATGACCTCATCACTCCTACCTTCTACTGGCAAAACTTTGGGAATTGGTATTCCAACATATGAACTTGGGGGAGTCACAAACATTCAGACCATAGAGAACATGGTACAATTAAATCAAGTCGTGGTGTGTGTGTGTGTGTGTGTGTGTGTGTGTGTGTGTGTATTTGGGGTTTTATATCAGGAGCTGAATCTTGGAATTGGAGGCATTTGAGGGGCATCTCAAGTATAGATGGCTATACTGGGAAGGCAGTTGAAAATACAACCTTGACACTCAGAAGTAAAGTTTGCCTGGAGAGGTCTGGTACGAACAGTGATTTTGGCTGCCATTTTTGGGGTGCTTAGCACATATTAGATCCCATGGTAAGCCTGAAGACAGTGTCACACAGCAGCTAAGATCCCAGTTTCTGGAATTAGGTTGTCAGAGTTCAGGTAGGACCCCCATCACTTATGAGGTTTGTGATCCTAAGCAAGATACTTTAGCTTTCTGGGCCTCAACTTCCCCAAATATGCAATGGAAATAATACTAGTGTCCCCTGCTTTGTGTTACTACCAAGATCATAATGAATTTAGAATAGTGTATAACACTCAATGAGTATTACCTGTTATTTTTTACTGATTTCATGTAATCACCATTAACAACCCTAAATGATAGGTAAGATTAGTAACCCCATTTTTAAAAAAGATTTTATTTATCTATTTGAGAGAGACAGTGAGAGAGCAGGAGCAGGGAAAGGGGTAGACTTCCCCCTGAGCCAGGAGCCCGACATGGGGCTCAATCCAGGGACCCTATGGTTTGTGACCTGAGCCAAAGGCAGATGCTTAACTGACAGCCACCCAGGCGCCCCAGTATCCCCATTTTTTTTAGATGATAAAACTAAGGCTTGGAGAATTTAAGCAATTTCCAAAGGTTACCCAGGTGGTAAATGGTAGAGTTAGAATTTCAACCAGGACCTGCTAATCCTCCACAATCAAAGGTACATCATCCAACTACAGTGTCTGAACCACCAGTCAGAGTTAGTCATGAGCAGGTAGGCAGCTAATGAGACATCACTCAGGCAAAGCAAGTTTGGGGCATGGTGCTGTGGTTAAAAATAACAACAACAACAAAAAATCAGAAAATGCTCCAATAGGTAGCAGGAAAGCCAAGTGAAAGGATGTGTTCTCAGACCCAAGTGCTCAATGGCGTCACCTACCTGTTTGAAGACCCAAATCAATGGCCTTGGGATATTTTTTACCCCAATCCACCATCTAGATTTGTTGCTAAGAATTGGTGCCATCTGATGTCTCCCCTGAGCTGCCCTGATCTTTGCCTTAATTAATCATAAACACAAGTAACAATTTACAATGGAAAGACACTTTCACATCAGGATCTGCCTGGACCCTCATGGGCTCCCCCAGAGGCAGGAGTTATTAACCTACACTCTGCAGGTGAGGGAACACAGGCCCATGGAGGGGAAGTGGTTTATGGAGCTTGAGAACTCTGACACCGATGTAAACAGGACTGCAGTTGAACCCAAGATCTGTCACTTACCACCTGCGGTGCTTGGATAAGTTACTTAATCTCCCAAATCTTGGTCTCAATCTTCTGTAAAACATAGCTGATCATGCCTGCTCATCAGGTTGTTAGAAAGTGGCATATGGTAGGTGCTCAAAAACTGGTAGCCAGCAATAGAAGTGGTGATAGTAGCTGAGCCTCAAGACAAAACCAGACCACCAATTCCAATCCTGGGTTGTTGTTTCTACAGAGAATGGCACATCTATGTGTCATTAAGGAAATGGTACAGAGGCAAATAGAGCTAGTAGAAATTATGGCTAGTGAGGATGGTAAATGCTGATTATTAAAGTACTTTATTTTTTATTTTTAAAGATTTTATTTATTTATTCATGAGAGAGAGAGAGAGAGAGAGAAGCAGAGACACAGGCAGAGAGAGAAGCAGGCTCCATGCAGGAAGCCCGATGTGGGACTCGATCCCAGTTCTCCAGGATCACACCCTGGGCCAAAGGCAGCGCTAAACCGCCGAGCCACCCGGGCTGCCCTATTAAAGTACTTTAATATCCACCCAGAGATGGGTGTTATCCATGAGGAGGGTTTAAGGCTATGCTTAAGATCCCCATGATGAGTAGAGCCCTTGGAGCCACTTATGTGGGTTAGAATTCTGTCATTTTTTCGTTGTGTAATCAACTCAGATCACTTAGCTTCTCTGAACCTCAGCTTCCTCATCTGTGAAATGCGATTAAAATAGCTATCATTTCATTTGTGAGAACCAAGTAGCATAATGTGTGTTGAATGTGTAGCCTGAAATGCAGTAAGTGCTCAACAAATTCCTACCTCTCTCCTTCCCGTTACACTGTCCACTCCATAATGACAGTGTATGTATTTTTTCTTCCCTGTAAGAGTAAATTATTCTTCACTGCCCTCTGGGGATAGAAAGTAAAACAGCATGCATGACACCAAACCTAGGAGTTAGTGAAAGAAGAAGGGACCCACAGGAGCAAAATTTTTGTCTTCCTGGGGCATTGGGCATCTGCCTTTGGCTCAGGTCATGATCTTGGGGTACTGGGGTAGAGCCGCAAATCAGGTTCCCTGCTCAGCAGGGAATCTGTTTCTCCCTCTCCTTCTGCCCCTCCTTCCTGCTTGTGTGTACACACACACTCTCTCTCAAATAAATAAATAAATAAATAAATAAATAAATAAATAAAATCTTTTTAAAAATGTTTTTGTCCTCCTTCAATGCAGAAAGAAGAGGCCAGTTGAGATGAACCCATGGTCCAGTTATCTGTTGGGATGGACAACTTTCCTCCTCTACTTCTATGAGACAAGTGGAAGTGAGTATACTGGAAAAATTTGGGGAGGATTTGGAAACCAGAAAGAATGAAAGGGCAAAAGTAAAGATTCCTGGATTCAAGTAGGGAGGAGATAGAGAATCATCTGCTTTTGGACTGTCTTGACTATGGATAGCTGAAAACATGGAAAGTCAGACCATGGATAAGCAGGTGGCTGCTGTAATTGACACAAGCACCTTTCATGATGCTCAGGAACATGGTAGGGATGTGCAGTTATGTTCATTAAAAGGGGGGCTCTAGGGGTGTCTGGGTGGCTCAATCAGTTACACGTCTGACTCTGGATTTTGACTCAGGTCCATGAGATCGAGCCCCAAGTTGGGCTCTGAGCCATTCTCTCCCTCTCTCTTTGCCCCTCTCCCACCACTCACGTGCTCAATCTCTCTCTCTCTCTCTCTCTCTCTCTCTCTCTCAAAAAAAGGGGGAGGCCTCTATAATTCCAACAGATTGTGTCATCAGACTCCAACTTAGACCCTCCACAATTTTTCTTAAATTGTGGTAAAATGCCCAGAAGATAAAATGTACCATCTTAACCATTTTGAAGTGTACAATTCAGTAGAAGTACATTCATGTTGTTGTATAACCAATAGCCAGCACTCTTTTCAGCTTGCAAAACTAAAAGAAGTCTGTACCCATTAAACAACTTGGATTTCTCCTTCCCTCCAACCCCTGACAACCATCATTCTGCTTTCTATATCTATGAATTTGACTGCTCTAGATACCTCATGAAAGTGGAACCAAACAGTACTTGTCTTTTTCTGATGGGCTTATGTCACTTAGCATAATGTTCTCAAGATTCATCCATGTTGTAGCAGCTGTCAGATTTCCCTTTTAGGGCTGAATAATATTCCACTGTGTGTGTGATACACACATGTACGTACCACATTTTGTTTATCCATTCATCCACTGATGAACTTGGATTGTTCCTGCCTTTTGGTTATTGTGAATAATGCTGCTATAAACATAGGGTGTAACAAATACTTCTTTGAGAATCCACTTTCAATTCTTGTAGAGATATACCCAGAGGGGGAATTGTTGAGTCGTATGGTAATTTTATGTTTAATTTTTTGAGGAACTGCCATACTATTTTCCAAAGCAGCGCACCACTTTATATTCCCATCAACAGTGCAAGAGTTCCAATTTCTCTACATCTTTGCCAACACTTGTTGTTTTCTGCTTTTTTTTTAAAGTAGCCATTCTAGTGAGTGTGAGGCTATACTCTTCATATATCTAGGAATCTAAATCAACCACCCAAAGATCTTGTGGTAAGCACAGAAGCAGAACAAAGAGAGACCTTGATTATATGTAGTTCATTCAAGCTATGTTGAAACTATTCTCTACAACTAAACTCCTTTTCTGCCTGATGAACCCTCAAGAAACATTCCTGTTTTCATGCCCTTTTATTCCACAAAGTCCTTTTTCACTGATAACATTCTTTATTCCAGAGATTCCTAACCTGAGTTCACTGGGGAAGCATGAGTTCACGAAGCCCTGGATTAGTATAAAAGAAGGTGTGTATTTATCAGAGTATTGAGAATAGATATTGAAACAGACAAATTACAAACTTTCAGCAGCTTAACACAAAGCATTTTATTTCTATAAAGTCCAATGAGGGTGCATCTGGTCAGCAGGGATCCATCACCTTCCACCGTGGGTCTTCACCATCCCCTAGGGCTTCAGGATGCCCTGTGGATTCTATGCTTGAAGCTGATAGACAAGGATCCAGAGTCTGATGATCTTGGAGGAGAGGTTTGTTTGGCCAGGAAGTGATATCTGTCACTTTCTCCCATTTCCACTGGCCAGAACTCACAGGATACTTAGCTACAAGGGAGTCTGGGAAATGTAGTTTTTAGCAGTAGGAAGGAAGATGAAGCTGGTTTTGAACACACAGCAGTCTCTGCCACAGGGAGGTATGAGTACTTTCCTAGAGAGAAGGTCTAGCTTCTCATAAGAATAGAGAATCCCCCAAAGGCTAAAAACTCATGGTTTATTTAGACAGGGAACAATGCCAGCTTTCCCAGTTATTGTCTCATTCTGGTCATACCTTCCTGAGACCACACCCATATTCCGGTGGCTAAACTTGGCATCCCTAAGTCTTCTCTGCACATATTTATGAACTAATTTATTCCATACACATTTATCAAATGATTCCCAAATGCCAGGCAGGGTGCAATGGGCCAGAAACATAGCTAGCAATAAATGAAATTCATGCCTTATACTCAGAGAGCTTACAGCAAATGAGAGTGATAGACACATAAACAGGTAACTATATTCTTTTTTAAAAAAATATTTTATTTATTTATTTGAGAGAGTGAGCAAACAAGCAAGAGAACATGAGCAGGGGAAGGAGCAGAGGGAGAGGGAGCAGCAGGGAGGGGCAGAGGGAGAGGGAGAAGCAGGCTCCCTGCTCAGCAGGGAGAGTGGAGAAGAGTGTTGATCCACATTGAACCAAGTTATATAGATGAGTAACAGGGAATAAAGCTAGGAATAAAGAAAAGAGCAGGATGAAGGGCATGAGCCAAATGCCAAAGACAAGAAAGAACGTGGAGGAAGGTCGAGGAAATGTTAATCAGGCAGTGAGAACAGAGAGGTTCAGCAGGGCCCAGATTATGGAGGATTTTAACCCATTTAAGAAGATTAGACCATCTGCTGGATTACTTTGCAGATGGCTAATAGTATCTATTATGTGTTGATCCTTACTAAGAACTCCCAAGGATAATCTTAATCCTGTGTCCAGGGGGCATCTGCCTGCCCTCCCCTCACCACCAGCATCATACATACTGGTGGTATCCATGACTGAGAATCACTGATGACAATGATGACTGTGATGGTAATGATGGTGTAGCAGTCATGTCCCAGGTCCTCTTCTAAGCACTTTCCAGATATTAACTGGTCTCAACTTTACAAAACCAAGATTTAAAAGTTCTGAGAGCCAGAGGTGGACAATGCACTGTGACCTAAGGACCTCTACTTTCATCAACCCATTGGCGAAGCTCAAAAATGGAGGTCTGCCTTTTCCACCCTCTCTTAGCACATCCCTCACTCACCCTTATGATGGCCTCTGTCAGATTATACAGGGTAAGAATCTGATCTGAAGAGACGGGGCTACAAGACTGAAGATAGAGAGGATGTCTTATTCGTCTGTATTGGTAACAGATTAACTATCCGCAAATGTCAGTGGTTCAATTCAACAGAGTTCTTGTCAAACTCATCTAGCACTTCAGTGTGGCTGTTTGGTGGGATGCCTCTTTCATTGTGATTCAGAGATATAGGATGCTTTTGTATTGTGGCTCCAACATCCCCTAGGGCTTCATTGTTCTCTGCAGGGTCCTTTTACCTAACTTTCTCAACCTGGGCACTATTGACATCTGGGGCCAGATGACTTTGTTCTGGAATCTGTGTGTGGTAAGATGTTTAGAAAAATCTCTGGCCTCTGCCCAGTAGATACCAGTGGTACAGGTACTAGCTCCCTCCTCTTCTAACTGTAACAACCAAAATGTCTCCAAACATTATCTAATGTCCCCTTCTCCATCAAGAACCACTGCTGTGTGTCCAGCTGGCAGAGGAAGAAAGGAGCATAGAGGTTTGCTTGGGACTTTTCTGAGCAAGGAAATGGTGGACATCATTTCCACCCACATTCCATGAGTTGTAACGAGTCATGTGGTCCCACCTAACTATAAAAGAGGCCAAAAAAATGGGTTCTAGCTAGGAGCCCAGAAAGAAAAAGAAGATAGGTTTAGTGAATCCATGGAAGCTTTGCCTAGGTTTGGACCATGAGGACACACACGTATATGCATGCACATAAATAACCTATCAGAATGTCTTAGTCATAGTAAGCCTTCATTATATCTTTGAGGGAGGAAGGAAGAGAGGAAAAGAGGGAATGACAGGATGAAGGCAGAGAGAAAAGCTGTGATCCTCAACCAGTAGATAAAAAATTCTAGTTCTCATTCTAGTTCTGCTAAAAAAGAAAAAAAAGTATTAAGTTGAAATGATGCTTTATCTTACATGGTTCCTCACTTCCTTCTGCATGATGTGAAAAATTTGAGCTAGAAGAGAATTTCATAAGATGTGTTTCAGGGACCATTAGTCTCCAGAGGTATCAGGGAGTGAGGAGGAAGGATTATTCAATATACTCCAAACACCTCTTGCTAATTCAATTCTCATTTGAGTATTGACCCTTCTGATGAATTCTTCATTAAAGAAACTCATTTAGCTTTTTTTCATGTGGTATTTTCTGAAATTATTTCTTCATTCTTTCAGTTCTTTCTTAAGCATCTACTATGAGCAAGTCACTATTCTAGTTTCTGAGGATGCACTGTGTCAAAGACAAAGTCCCTGTCTTCTTACCGAGGAATACAAAGGCCAAGGGTTGCATTTTTCCAATTTTACTCATCCAGGTACCACGCCCTCAATATTTGCCACATCTTCATACCACCAGCACTATCATTTACTTAGCCTTCTTCTTTAAACGTGATCACTTTTCTTCACTTTAACATCCGATTTTAAAGAATAGTTAACATCAGCTCTGTAATCTGTAAAAATGCTACTACTTGCCATAAATAGAAATTGCAAACAAAAATAAATAGTATGAAAACAAAATCCCATTATTATATTCTACTAGATGCTATTGTCCCAAAAAGGCTTTGAGCCTGAATCGTGCCCTCTTTTTTTGGTTGTTGTTGTTTGTTGTTAAAAAGGGAGATTATTAAGAATTAGAGACATGGTAGAGAAATACTAGCATTAAAGTGAAGCTTTCTCTTTTGTGTAATCAGAAAGATTGAAAAGAGCATTGAAAAACAAAATCATTTTTCAGAATTATTTGACTGTGTGTCTCTTCCATTAACTAATGTGATCTTGTGACCTTTACCAAATGCATTTTGTGTAACATTGATGGTACTCCGATGGTCTGGAGGAAAACTTCATCCTGGTTGTTTTTATGGTTTATGAGACTCCTTCCCTGTACTTTGGGTCTCAGTATAAACTGGACATGCCCTTATACGTCATGAGAAATTTGGATGCTAAAGCTCCACGTGTTGCCTTCAAACCCCCCCCAGGGAATAAAACCAAGACTCATCCTTGGCTCACTCATTGTGACAAAGCCCTGTCACAATATTTTGTCTCTCTGTCTTCTAGATCAGAAAGATTCATGTGTATTTCCCTTCGTCTACAAGGGGTCTTCTTACTTCTCTTGCATCAAAACCAATAGCTTCTCTCCTTGGTGTGCAACCAGAGCTGTTTATAATGGGCAGTGGAAATTCTGCATGGCAGACGGTGAGTGGCGCCACACTGTCCCCTCAGCAGTCCTCTTCAAATGATGGATTGCAAAAAAGAATATGTGGATTTGTATAATATAATCATATTTTTGAAGATGAGTTATGATATACGTGTGTGTGCATAAAAAATGCTCCCGGGGCAGCCCGGGTGGCTCAGCGGTTTAGCGCCGCCTTCAGCCCAGGTTGTGATCCTGGAGACAGGGAATTGAGTCCCACATGGGGCTTCCTGCATGGAGCCTGCTTCGCTCTCTGCCTGTGTCTCCGCCTCTCTCTCTCTCTCTCTCTCTCTCTCTCTGTGTGTGTGTGTCTCTCATGAATAAATAAATAAAATCTTTAGAAAAAAAATCCTTCCGGAAGGCAAAACACTGGATGCTAGTACAGGGTAATAATGTTAACAATGATAGTGTTGAAAATGGTGCTCTCTGAACCACTGTATTCTTTGTCTCTTTCTTGATTTTTTAAATTAATAAGGAAAGACAGAAACAAAGTATAATAGAGAGGAGATTTGAAAGATTCTGTTTATTCTCAAAACCCATGACATCTTTGTAATTGTATGATTTTGATCTTTTGTGCACAGGATAAAAGGTGTTTTGTTTGTTTTAACTAATATTTTATTGTTGGACATTTTAATTGTTCCTAGTAGTAGCTGGCTTTTGAACATGCAGGATTTACTTCTCCCTCATACCACTGTTCTTGACTCTCTTAGATCAAATGCTCCCTTTGATAGTAAATAAAACATTCCTTTTTCTATCCTGAAATAAAATGTATAAAGAACATTACCTATCCTAAATTCATAATTTCAAGATAAATCAACATAATTCCATAACTGCAATATAAGACAGAAATAAAATGAGACAAATTGATAATAAAGCAATAAGCATGCATGATCATAACTCACCTAAAAGATATTAAAAAGTGGCCAGAGGCTTGTACCTCCAGGCAAAATCTCTTTGATTATAAGAGCCAAAAATGACTACAAAGAAGCCCTGTTCCATTGAAAAAACGAAACCAAACCTGGAAGCAATGCTACCCCTGGTTGAAAATATTCCTCTAGTTCAAAAGATGCAAATCAAGATCAACTGGTTGAAACTGAATCTGAAAATTAGGAACAGATTTTAAAAAAACTCTGGGGGGGGGGGCAGCCCAGGTGGCTCAGTGGTTTAGCGCTGCCTTCAGCCCAGGGCCTGATCCTGGAGACCAGGGATTGAGTCCCACGTCGGGCTCCCCGCATGGAGCCTGCTTCTCCCTCTGCCTATCTCTGCCTCTCTCTGTGTGTGTCTCTCATGAACAAATAAATAAAATCTAAAAAAAAAATAAAAATAATAAAATAAAATAATAAAAATAATTAAAAAAATTCTGGAAAAGAGGTCCCGGAACAAGCATAAGATATACAAAAGGGGACAAAACTTTGCCAAAAGTCATATACTAGACACAGTCAAGGCCAAGATATTCAACAACCTGCATTTAATTAAACCTCTTTCAGCCATATCACCGAAGGCTCTTGTACAGATGAAGGTTTGCCTTTTGCATCTCCTCTCTCAGCTCTGGATCCTGAGGCAAGTAATGTTCTTTGGACCCATACTGGTGGGTTACTCACTACCTGTGAACAGCTTTAACATCTTAGCCTTGCCCCACAGTGGTGGGGAAGTGGTTTTCCAGGGGCATTCCCAAGTAATGCCTTGCAGGATGCTTCACCTCATGAGTGGAATAGTGGAATCCGAAACAGGTATCCATGGCAATCACTAGACATCTTAGCTTATGATATTCATATCACTAGAAATATATACTCTGTGCAGAGGCTTTCCTGCTCATTTGTAGGTTTCTTCAAATAAGGACAAGGCGCCACCGCTGTGTAAATCAGAAAAACAGAATCATCCCTAATCCCTTACCTCCCATCCCATGTGTAATCCATAAACCAGACTTAATTTTTCTGTCAAAATAGATCCTAGTTTTAGCTTCTGGAAAGAAGCTGCTTCACTGCCTCCATCCTTCTCTGAATCATCATCACCTCTGCTTGCCAAAATTTGCTAACAGGTCTCCTCAAACCAACCCCCCCCCCACCTTCCTCCAGCCAATTCCCCACACCTCAGTCAAAGAAGTCTTTTTGGAATGTGAAGTCAGGTAATGCTACTCCCCTGCTCAAGTGGGACCTGAATACCTCTGTGGCTTACCTGCACACTTAGAAAAATATCCTGACCCCCAGAAAGGCCAATGCAAAGGAGGAGGCACCACATTTCCTGATTTCAGACTATATTGCAAAGCTATAGTAGTAAAAACAGTATGGTATTGGCATAAAAAGGGACACACGGATCAATGGAACAGACTTGAGAGCCCAGAAATAAGCCCATGCATATATGGTCAATTAATTTATGACGAAGGAGCCAAGAACATGCAACGGGGGAAAGGACAGTGTCTTCAATAAGTGGTGTTGGGAAAACTGGACAGCCACATGCAAAAGAATGAAACAAAATCCATATTTTACGCTGTACACAAAGTCAACTTGAAATGATTGAAGACTTGAAAATAAAACGTGAAACCATAAGCAGGTTTGGCAATGATTTTTTTTATCTGACCCCAAAATCAAAGGCAACAAAAGCAAAAATAAACAAGTGGAACTACATCAAACTACAAAGCTGCTGTATAGCAAAAGAAAAATATAGCATATTTATTTTCATCAATAAAATGAAAAGGCAACCATGGAATGGGAGAAAATATTTGCAAATCATATATCTGATAAGGGGTTAATATCTGAAATATCAAAAAGAACTCCTACTACTCAATAGGAAGGAGAAAGGGAAGAAGGACGAGGGGGAGGAAGAGAAAGCAAAAGAAGGAGGGGAAGATCCTCTCACCTTGGTCTGCAAAGCTCTACAGGACCTTGCCCTTTCTGTCCTCATCATCTCCCATTCTCTTCCTTGACTGCTGAGCTCCAGCTACACTGGTTGTCATGTTTCTTGAATGTTCTGAACTCCTTCCTGTATTTGAAGTCTTCACACTATTATTCTCTCTGCCTGTACTTCAGTTCCCCCCAATTTTTGCATGGCTGGCTTCTCCACATTGTGAGAGCCTCTTCTCAAATACAACCTGCTCAAGGAAGCCTTCCCTTGTCCCTTCGTCTATTAAACCCCTCCATCATCTCCAAATGACCCTGATTTTCTCACTTAAAATAAATCCACCCACTGTAAACATAATGTCTGAAATTATATTTGCTGTATTAACATTTGTGGTGGGAAATTCAATCTATCTATGAAAGTTGCAAGAAGGCACAAGCACCTAGATGATAATTTTACTGTATTTGACTTCTTTGATATTTGACATTTTTTTCAGTAATGGCAACATTCCTTTTATGTCAAGGTCTTGACTTCATCTGTTGATCATAAACCATCAAAATTCTTTGTTGTGACCTGATTCCTACAGGTCTTTTGCTGACCCTAAGAGATTCACTTTTAAGACATGGTGAAGTATGTTTGTTCAGCAGGTGGGGGTGCCAGAGTTGAGATTGGGGACTCTGTTGGGGAAGCTTTGAGGTTGAAAGTACAGGAGGAGGCTTTCTTTATGAAATACTTGATGAAATGAATGAATAAAATCTCTTCCAGACTTGATACTTGTTCTGCACTTTGGTGGCTAATGGATGGATGGATGGATGGATGGATGGATGGATGGATGAATGAATGAATGATTAAATGTCCCATCAATGGCTGGAGAAAGTCAAACCACTCATGGGCTCCTTTCCGTACAGATTACCCACGATGCATCTTCCCCTTCATCTTTCGAGGAAAGTCCCATAACAGCTGCATCACGGAGGGCAGCTTCCTCAGAAGGCTGTGGTGCTCAGTCACCTCCAGCTTTGATGAGAATCAGCAGTGGAAATACTGTGAAACCAACGGTGAGGCACTGGAGCAGGGATGGAGTGTTTGGTGGGGAGTGGGGGGACAGCAACAATTCTCCTGAGGTGATCATGGTGACACGGGGTAGAGCAATGGGAGCAATACTTCTAGAAATGAAGTGTCTTCTTAAAGAGTACATTAGGATAACTACAGGAGGCAGGAATGACCTGAGGCCATGTTCCCCTGAGTCTCCAACATCAGCACCAAAAATCTGGTTGTCCCAAGAACCAAAACCATGGGGTGTAGTCCTGACACTGGCTTTCAAGTATTGCGGTTGCCAATAAGCAGATTCACCCAGTGCTAGACCCTACGTACATTTCATCTTAATTCTATGCATACTCTTCACTTCATAATGACCTCCATTCATTCTAGAGCTCTCTCTGTATTAGACTATAATCCAGGACCTCTATATATAATCTCTCATTGAATCTTTCCGTGGAAGTTCTATGAGATGCTTTTTTTTCTCTATTCAGCAAATGGTCCCAGTAAAATTAAGTCTTGCCCAAGGTCACTCTCCTAGGTGATGTCAGAGTTAGGATTTGAATTCAAGTTCATATGGCTCTAATGCCCATGCTTCCCCACTAAGTAGTGTTGCCTCCATCGAGATGAAGATTCAAGCAAGGCACCTATCCATGGGCATACTTATTCCCATACAAAGTCTTAATTATGTTCTTCCCTTAGCACTCAAAAAATCTTAATCCCATATAAAACCTTGATTTTATCTTTCCACTAGACATCCATTACTTGGGTCCTTAACACTATCAACCTTATCCTTAAATCTCACGATAATTCTGTTGATAAAGCCTGTGGAACACAAAAGCCTTTGTTCAGGGAGACAGTAAACTGTGTGGTCATGAATGATTTGGGTTCTCACTTACATGCAAAGTGGACATAATAGCATCACGAGAACTTGATTGGGCGCGTTCAGTGTTATGGTGCCTAAGTTCATGTGTGATAAATGGAAGCTCTTTTTGTTGTCTCTTCTTGTCCCTGTGACCTTTCCATAATTATTTTCAGAGTATGGGGGAAATTCTTTCAGCAAGCCCTGCATCTTCCCCTCCATCTTCAGAAATAGCACAATCTTTGAATGCATGGAGGATGAAAACAACAAGCTCTGGTGCCCAACCACAGAGAACATGGATGAGGATGGGAAGTGGAGCCTCTGTGCTGATACTAGTAATCTGGGGAAGGGGACTGGGTGGACATGGATGGATTCCTTCATTCATTTACTCAGCAAACACCTAATCCAGCCCTACTGTGTGCCAGACACTGTGCTGGGCAGTGGGCATATGGTGATGAGTAAGGCAGAGTCCTGCCTTCATGGATCTGATGAGCAAATAACATAAACAATGCAACAGTGTGATGGGCAAAATATGGGCTGCTTGAGATCCAAAAGAAAGAGGTCAATATAAGATTTTCAAAATGTGAAACACCTAACACTTGCTTGTACAAACACAGAGTAAGCACATACTAAGGTTTAAAAAAATCTGGGGTGCCTGGGTGGCTCATTCAGTTAAGCATCCAACTCTTGATCTCATCTCAGGTCTTAATCTTAGGGTCGTGAGATCAAGCACCGCACTGCCCCCATACTGGGTGGGCATGGAGCTTACTTAAAGAAAAAAAATCTATTAATAAGGTAACTAGAAGGATAGTGAAGCCAATTCAGGGGAATTTATAAGAAATACACAAAGTCAGTGAAGAGAAGAATGTTGAGTACAAGCAAGATTATTAAATTAGCCACAAAATCTGTTAACATCTAAAGGGCAATCAAACCTTTGTTGTTGTTGTTTTAAAGATTTTATTTATTCATAGAGACACACACACACACACAGAGAGGCAGAGAGAGAAGCAGGCTCCATGCAGGGAGCCCGACGTGGGACTCGATCCCAGGTCTCCAGGACCACACCCCGGGCTGCAGGCAGCGCCAAACCGCTGTGCCACCGGGGCTGCCCAAACCTTTGTTGTTGTTATCTTGTCTACCAGACAGAAATTATTGGCATTTCTATTGAACAAAAATTAGTTACGATGTATCAGTTTTCTACAAGCTCCAGAGTTGGGGAACTTGTTCTAGCCAACAGCAGATAGTAAGTCAGACCAAGTTCTATTTCCCTAGAGTAGGGGTCTGCAAACCACATCCTGCCTATGGGCCACACCTGGACCACTTCTTTTGGACCCCAATCTAAGAATTGTTTTTTTTTATTGGAGTTCAATTTGCCACATATAGCATATCACCCAGTGCTCAGCTCATCAAGTGCCCCACTCAGTGATTTTAAAAAGTCCAAAGAAGAATCATATTTTGTGACAAAAATTATATGAAATCCAAATCTCAGGGCCCTGAGCTAGACAATCAGGTGACCCTTAGGGACTGTTTAGACAATGCTCTAGAAGGACATGAAAAGGTCACGTGGAAATCTTTTGCCCCTATTGCATGTTTTGGATAATTTTGTTAACAAAGGAGAACAAACGTAGATTTGGTGGATGATAAGGAAGAAGCCCTCAAGGAAGGAAAACAGAACGTTTTTCTGTAAATATAATATTTCCCCATAGGGCACATCCCAGCCTGCCTGCACTTCAGGGACTCTGGACAGCTCTTCAGCACTACACTTGGGCATTTTAAATACTTGTCAACAGCAGGAAAGCTGCACAGCGAAGGCAGGGTGCATGCAGCCTTGCTGGGCTTCAGTTAGGAACATGGGCTCTGTGTGTCCACATATGACCACAAAAACCCCACCAGTACTGACTCAGGTTCCAAATAAATTTTAGCAAGTGGTAAATTCACGCATCCAGGATCTGTGGATAAGACTCCCTGTAATATGTCCTCTCAGTGCTTCCCACTCCACTCCCTGGTTCCCTTGGTGACATAATGTCCTTCTTTCTCCCACCGCCAGGACCCCCTGTGCTTTCACACAGCCCATAGTCCTTCTTCTACTATTAGTGGAACTAATTTAGCTTCCCCAGGAAGAAAATCTGACATTTAGGATTAGGTCAGCATTTCTCTCCTCTAATGGTAGCTTCTGAGCAAGCCCAAACAAAACTCTCACAGGCAATGTGGACCCAATTTTGATTTTAGGATGGGCTCTGAAGCCTAAGCCTTCATCACAATGTAAAGACACAGGGGTAACTACTATCATATCCCCTTCTTCTTCCTAGGAATTTCCTCCTTGGTTCCTGGCTTTCCCTGCCACTTCCCATTCAGCTATAAAAACAAGAATTATTATAACTGTATCGGCAAAGGAACAAAAGAGAACCTTACGTGGTGTGCAACCTCTTACAACTACGACCGGGACCACACCTGGGTGTATTGCTGATGCAAAGGTAAGATGCATAACACACCCAGGGCAATACTGTGTGAAAGTGACGTCTGTTCCTTCCAGCATGATTAGCTGAGATTCCCAGCAAGGTGAGCTCCATGTCCCAGAGATGAGGTGAAGTGGAGGTTGGGTGGGTGGGTGGAGACTGGAATAGCTTCCCAAATGAGAAGGAGGTGGACTCTTTCAGACCCAGAAAGATATCATGCCAAGTTTTAGGTCCAAGGAGGCCTTGAGTGTGCAAGATAGGAAAATGGAATTTCTCAAACTGGAGTGTGAGAAGAAAAAATGAGCTTGAAAGGAGATTACCAGGACTTGTCTGGTCCCCGGAGGCCATGGTGCCAGGTTATTGATCTACTATCCCTGTCACCGAGTAGCCAGTGGACAAAAAGGTAGGGTTCCCTTCTGCTCCTCATCATGAGGGTCCCTCCCCCACCTCCACACATAAGTCCTCAGCTATCTCCACAGCTATCTCCATAGCTTCATTCTCCCTTCCAGTCCTTTCCTCTGGCTTTAGTATTCTAAGGCCTGTGGAAGCTCTCCAGACCCCCTGCATGGGTCCACTGACCTAATCACTCAGTGGTTCTGGGATTTAAACACAAACAGAAGCCCTTTCATCAGATGTGCGGACAACTTTGGTGTTTCTAGCAATGTTTGCCCTTAACAATGCATATGGCTTATGGGTGACACCAAAATTAGTGACTCCTCCTGAATTTTGGATTAGTCATGAAAATCATCTTCCTGGAACAGACGAGACATCAATAGGGCTGTGGGGCTCTGGGTACCATCTCAACAAGGTGGATATTAAAAAACACCCACAAGCTGGTGTGCTTGGATAGCTCAGTTGGTTAAACATCCCTTGACGTCATGATCTCAGGTCATGATCTCACACGTGAGCATGCTCTCTCTCTCTAAATAAAACCAAAACCAAAATACCCACAAGTCATCCCCAGGCTGTGGCTAGAATTAAGAACATTTTTAGTGTTCTGCCTCTGATTTCTGTCCACCAGTGCACAACTATCTTCTGCAAGTCTCTATTCCACCAAGCCTATTACAGCGAGATTACAGTGGTCATGGTTCAGTGGCTTCCCACCCCCATGAGCCAGGTGAGGGGCAGGGATATCCAACTGCCCTTGGCTCAGCTGCCTCCCTTTGGACTCAGACTTGAAAACCAATATAGAACTTTGTAACCACGTTACATCTTGAGTCACTGCATACCTATTACCTGAATACTGGCTTTTGATTCTATTTTCAAGGGGAGGAGAAACATCTTCAGAGGAAGACGGACATACTAAGTCTAGAACCTGCTTCATCATTTTCATCAAGTCTTTCAAGTGTAATTGCTTTTAGAAGTACCTTGTCTGCCATTTTGCTTAATCACTTGGTCCTTTGTGAAGAACAGAGGGAGTATGTGGCATAACCACCAATAAAGGAGCCCACAGTTAACCCCTAGGGCTGCTCTTTGTGCTCTCTGGAATGAGATAAGGTGAGGGACCAGAATGTATGGTGAAGGAAGCCTTGGTGACTGGGTGGTGAGTCTCACAGGCGGAGGTCAGATTCTTAGCCCAGGGTCCCTTGGAAGGAACTGCAACCTGCTATCTCTTTCTGGGAAACTGTAGATTTGGGTGGAGCATTTGTAGATACTTGTTAAATCATTAATAAATAAATTAGTAAGTTAAACAGAGGGTAGGAAATTCATGGCATTTGATGTAATGAGCACTAGGTATTACATGCAACTGATGAATCACTAAATTCTACCCCTGAAACTAATAATACAGTACATATTAACTGAATGGAATTGAAATAAAGACTTAAAATTTTTTTTTTAAAAAAGAAGAAAATTCATTACAAGATTACATTGACTATTCTCTCCCCATGCCTGTGGCAGACATCATTAATTGATTACAGAATCTGTTTCCCTGTGAGCCCAGGTGCATCCTCATTCTGTTGTTGTCCCTCTTCTCCTCCCTGCTCCTCCCCCTCCTCCTCTTTCATAAAACACTGAGCAACTGCTATCACTGTCCCACACTGCATGCAGACATCAGGAATAGATTTAACCATTCAGCCTCAACCAGTCTGATTGTCTAAAACGATGTTGCATAGACATTTGAGAAGCCGGAAGATCTCATGGTAGAGCTTTTCCACTGTAGCTCAAGAACAACCAGATGTTCGATCTTCCCTTAATCACAAACACACCACAGGAAACCTGGCTCTCCTGCCCCCAGATCCCACAGGTGCCCCCCTCGTCTCCAGCCTTCCCTCACACACGTTCTACCTCTGTCTCCTCACTCAGTACGTTCTAGCCACCACCCTGTTCCTGAAGCCACCACACTGACGCCAGCCTCTGTGTACTACTTGCATGGCATCCCCTTCCCCTTGCCTTTCTGAGCCTCCCTGCTCACTTCACAATGTCTGCCGAGTCACCCGGTAATGAAGATGGAGACATGCCCCCAGATCCCAATTCTGCAGAGGGCTTCCCCAGCTCCGGCTGTGCCATCTGCAGGCAGCCTTCAGTGGTCAGCCCCAAATCAGGAATATCTGCAGCTACAGAGTGGCCTCCCTTGCTCAAAGTTGTGCCCTTTCCAGGGCAGCCCATATGCAAGATCTGAATGAGGGCAGGTGTAAAGGTGCAGCCATTTCAACCCCTGGGAGACAAGTCAGAAGAGCTAAGTCAGGAGCTTGTGCAGTTTGGGCTGAGACACATGAACTTGCATCCCACTTCCTTCTCCAGGTATCAATCCTAAGCACTCTTCTTGATAAACTTCCTGTACACTTCAACAGAGGAGGCATGAGGGGAACCCAACCTGAGACAGCCCATCATTAACAGACATGCTTTCTGGGGGCACCAGGCTGGCTCAGTCAGTAGAGTAAGCAGCCTTGATCTCAGGGAATGAGTTCAAGCCCCACGTTGGGAGTAGAGATCACTAACAGAAAAAACAAGAAATGCCCTTTGGGCCATTCTAGCTAATCAAACTACCCTTGCCTCTCCCCTAGTTCTCTGAGTAGCTAACCATCTCACTTTATCTTCTGCAGTTTCATGCCAACCTGAGCTGCTCTTATGTGATTATTTTTTTTTCTTCTCACCTCCCACTGGAAATATGAAAGCAAAGACCTTATTGCTGGCCTGTCTCCAGGACCTAGAATAATCCCAGATGTATAGCATGAACATGTGCTGTCTATAGCCACACAGGGTGACTTATATTTAAATATAACTTACATCATTCATAAAATCATTGTTGATAGAATGTTAACTTAGTAAAATAAAAAATAAAATTCAATTTCTCAGCCTCACTTACCACATTTAAAACTCAATAGCCACATGTGGCAGGGGCTACCATAACAGACAATGCAGTTCTAGGACATTCCATTGTCACGGAAGATCCCATTGGATTGTGTGGCTCCAGAATACAAGCTCCTTGAGGTCAAGTACCTTTTCATTGCTCTATTTCCATCACCTGGAACAATGCCCGCCATACAGCAGGGACTCAGCAAATGCCACGTTGAATAAGTGGGTGAGTGGGATGGGCAGATGAACAGGTGTATGGATGGAATGGGATGGAGCTGGCACAGGAGGTGATTTTAAAGGGTGATCTGGTTTATGTCACTCCTCTGCTCAAAATCCTCCAAGGTCCTCAGACTGGCCTCTAAGAACATACATGGTTTAACCTCCCATCCACTCTGATACATTATCACCTACCCCTCTCCAGCCAACATGGCCTCTCACCATTCCTCTCCAACAGGCCAGCTATATTCCTGCCTCAGGGCCTTGGCATTCACCCTACACTGTGTTGGAAGTGCTTTTCCCCTAGACAAGACCCTGGTACTGAGTAGACCCTCGTTCCCCCTACATAGAATGTGGATTCCTCCTATTCCCAGACACCTTAAACCACTTTCTGCTCCATTTTTCTCCATATTTCTTACCATCTTCTACCATACTAACTAGGATTATATTTACTCATGTATTTTGTTCCACATCTGTCTCCTCCCTTTATAATGTGGTGAGCTCCTGGGGTGGAGGTGGGGGCCAGGATCGGTGTATTTCATTCACCGAGATAGTCCCATGCTTGGAAGAGTGCCTTGCACTCACAGCAAGCACTTCATACATTCCTGCTGAATAAATGAAGTGCAGAAGGGAAGGAAGGCAGGATGGAAGGAAGGAAGGATACACAGAAGGGCACAAAGTAACTGGTCACAGTGAGAGGTTAGAAAACACATTATTCTGGTTCCACTCTTCAAATCTAAAATTTAATTTTATGAAACGAGGCTATTGAACCAGATGACCCATTGTATACTTCTACTTGGTGGGTTTCAAACATGAGGAAAACCTGGTGGAAGGTGTGATATGAATCCTGTACTTTGGGGACTTTGTGTCCTGCTTGCAGGTGGAAGTAAAAAGGAACAGATCCTCTGGTTTCAGGGTGCAGGTCAGTGTCAGGGTGTGAGGGCTGGCACAACTTCCCACCTAACAGAGGCAATCTAACCGGAGCACCCAGGGCAGACCATTGTGGGGCAGGGTGGAGGGGGGTGCTGGGGTTCCCAGGAATGGTTTCCATGCCACCCAGCTAAGCTGAGAATTTGAGAATTCCCCGTCCCCCTTCTCTTTGCATGATGACATTTTATGGGGGATTAATTCCCTGGGGATCAGCTTGCTCTAAACCTTGGTAATCCAGATTTATGATTTAATTCAGTATCTCACATAAGGAAAAGGAAGTAGGAGGTGGGAGGGAAAAAACAGACCTTGCTTCCAGGAAATCAACCAAACGGGCTAAGCTCACTTTGGAAGCCTCTTTAATTAACCTTTTCCAAGTCCAGTCTTATCAGGAACTCTGTAGCCCCAAGATTGGCCTTTCCCCCCTCTTCCAACAGAGAGAAACTGAGGTGATCGGAAGCAGCTGAAGCAGGAAGGGCGAAGGGCGGACTATGGGCTGGATTTTTTGGGAGTCAGACCCACGAGGACACTGAGGAAGAGACTCTGGCAGGTCATAGGCTTTGGAGATTATGGGAAGTCAAAAGACGTCATTAATCTTTGGAAATGGGGGAGCAGCACTGACCCTAGTCCCAATATCATTTTCATTCGTAGATTCTTCCTTCTTAATCTCATTCTAGAGAGGTACCCCTGACCCCACCCCGCCATCTGGGCAAAGTGATCATTTTTGGGTTAGCCTCAATTCATGCTCTTCAAGGTGGCCAGCCACCACTCTTCCTGGAAGGGCCCGAGGGGATTTGGTCCAAGGCAAGTGCTTGATCCATGTTGGCTGGGGGTGGGGTGACCGGGACTTCCAGAACCTCCTCAGCGAGACATCATCTTCACAAACTCTGCAAAGGAAGGTCTCTGGTGAGGTGTGTATTTGTAAGAGCAGCCAGCATTCATTTTAAAGCCCTTACGGTGTGTCAGGAACCATGGGTGATCTTCGGGTAAGTTCTCAATGACCCTCTGTATCTCAATTTCTTCATCTCCAAAATGGAAATCACAGGACTGCCATATGCCATATGTAATCTTTCAGATGGTTAAACAAGATAATGCTTTAAGACACATCAGGTGTTAAATAACTATGATTATCTGATTTCATCTTCTCAACCAATTCTGGAGGAGGAAATACCATTTTACAGATAAGCAGAGGCCAATGCAGTTGACCAACGGGCCTGAGGTCATGTGGATGGTGAGTGGTAAACCTTGGGAATAAAGCAGGGTGCACCTGACTTTGCTGTGACTCCACGCCAGATGAACTTTGGGGCCCCACCAAGGTCTTGAGGTCATTCTGTCCTTTCCCTGCCTGGGCATCTGCCTCCTATCTCTTCCAGATTTCCAGGGATACCCCTGGCACACCTGAGCCTGGTGAGATCCAGCAGGCATCCAGCAAACATTTACTAAGCTGTGGTAATGCAATAAATATCTACCAAGTTTCCCTATTGGGAATTACAGAAAAGATGGTTCAGAGAACATCCCTCACTTGCCATCCAGGATTCAACACCCTAGTTGGTGAACACAGCTCAGTGCCATGAAGTCTGCAGCGATTACTTTGAAGGGAGAGGAACAGAAAAACATCGGTAGGACTACAGAGCTGGAGCTAATACACCCAGCTGAAGATGAAGGGAAGCTTCTTCGCAAAGGTTGCACTGTTCCCATTCCTAAGGGATGGATAAGACCTGAGAATTCCCTGACGGGAAAGTATGGGAACTGGAAGGGAAGCCAGGGAGAAAGGAAAAGGAACAGGATTTCGAGGACACAGAGCAGTGTGTCCCAGAGCCCAGCAACTCAGAGTGTTTGTTGAAGTAAGGAGTTGGTGGAGGTCAGACCATGGATGCACTTGAATATTGGACTAAGAATTTATCTTTTGTCAGGGTGCCTGGGGGGCTCGGTCAGTTAAGTATCTGCCTTCAGCTCAGGTCATGATACCAGGGTCCTGGGATCAAGTCCCACATCAAGCTCCCTGCTCAGTGGGGAATCTGCTTCTTCCTCTCCCTCTGCCACTCCCCCTGCTCATGTTCTCTCTCTATCTCTATCTCTCTCTGTCTCTGTCTCTTTCTCAAATAAATAAATACAATCTTAAAAAAAGAATTGCGCTTTTGTCTATAGGCAGCAGTTGGATGATGGGGTTTCTGAACCAGAGAGTCACAATTAGAGCCTGTCATGCCCTGTTCTGTCTCCTACAAAGATCATCTCTACTCCGATCCACACAGGATTGCAATGGTTTCCATTCATCTGATCACTCAACACACACGTGACAAGCTCTGCACCAGGACTGGGGGTTTGGTGATGAGAGGTTCAGTCTGTGGCCTCAGCAGGAAACAGGCAAATCATGGTTATAAGCTCTGGTGGTGTCACTCTCCTTGTTACAGTGGAGGCATGTGCGGGTGCAGAAGAGGAATGCCCCTGCCCAAGAGGAGAGGTAGGGGGCAGCTTCCAGGGGCATAACTAAGACTTACCCAGCAGGAAGAGGCAAGGGTGATCCAGGCAGGAACACCAATGCGAGCAATGTCAGGATTGCCACTTAGTACATGAGTTCTCTGGATTTTCTCTAAAACTTTGGGAGGAAGATGTCATATTGTCCCATTTTGCAGACATGAACACTGACACTTAACATGAGAAAACAGGGCAGCCCTGGTGGCTCAGCGGTTTAGTGCCGCCTGCAGCCCAGGGCTGATCCTAGAGACCTGGGATCGAGTCCCACGTCAGGCTCCCTGCATGAAGCCTGCTTCTCCCTCTGCCTGTGTCTCTGCCTCTCTCTCTCCTCTCTGTGTATTCTCATGAATAAATAAAAAATCTTAAAAAAAAAACATGAGAAAGCAGCCAGGATAAGGCTGCATAGTCAGTAAGAGACGATCCTGAATTTGAGCCTCGAGACTCTGACCCCAAAGCCCCAGCTACTAAGCAGTCCACTCTCCAGATGGGACCCTCTGTTCTCTGACAAGGGCACCTAATGAACTGGGAAGGGACAGGGACTGGAGATGTGAGAGTGAGCCCTGTGGGAGATGTGTAGGGATAAGCTCCTAGATAGTGTCCTAAGAAGAGGTGAGGGACACGGAGCCTTTGAAATGACCCAGGTAGAAAGGGAGAGTCATATGGGCAGTGGCTATCCCCACACAATGTCACCTTCAAAGTCGACGGTACCGTCTCCATTCACATCAGCCTCCTGCACAACCTCTGAGATCTCGCGGGGCGTGAGCTTCTCTCCCAGGAGCCTCTGCATGGCCTGCTGCAGCTCCCCGAGGGTGATCTCCCCGTCTCCATTGGTGTCAAACTGATTGGAGCAGAGGAGTGATATCAACAATGATCACGACAATCCCAAGAGCAGTGTTACTGACCACTTACTGTGGGTCAGCGCTTTCACACATCGTGCACTGGCGTGTCTCCTCTCTGAAGGTGGGTCATCTGCACTACCTTGTTCACGGCCCCATGCTCGGGCTGCAAACAGTGCCTTCCACACAGTATGACGCACCAGATAAATACTGGCTGAATTAATAAACTATTTTCAAACCTCCACGCTGCATACCCTTAACCAATCTATTAGAAAGTCTCTGCGTTCTATGCCCCAAGCAGGTGGGGTAGCTAACTATCCTTCTCTAGCTAAGCTGACACTAACCTGGCCAAAGCCACAATCATCTCTTTTCTGGACTATCATGACAGCCCCCCAATTGGTCCTTTGACTCCCATCATGCGTTGTCCACATATCAGGGCCTTGTGTTCATGTTCATTTAAAACAGAAATCAGGGGTGTCTGGGTGGCTCAGTCAGTTAAGCGTCTGCCTTCAGCTCAGGTCATGATCCCAGGGTCCTGGGATTGAGCCTCGCATTGGGCTTCTTGCTCAGCAGGGAGTCTGCTTCTCCTTCTCCCTCTGCCCTCACCCCTGCTTATGCTCTCTGTCTCAAATAAATAAAATCTTAAAAAAAAAAAAACCACAGAAATCAGGTACTGTCACCCACTCTGCTGAAAATACTCCAGTGGCTTCCTATCCCCCTCAATGAAATCCTGACACGTTCCTCAACACACAAACTCCTATGAGGTTGGGTCCTCCCTCTGCCAACTCTGAGCCCTTGTTGTTTGCATGCTACTCTCTCTCCAGCTCAGGATGCTCCAAGAACTCAGGGCTTCTTGCTCTTCCCCAAATGCGCTTTCTGCCTTCCAGCATCCATACCTGCTGCTTCCCCAGCCTGGAATAATATTTCCCCAGAGCAGTGCCATCCAATAGAAATATAGCATGTACCCCATGGCTGATTTTAAATTTTTTAGTCAGCCATGTTTTTATTTTTATTATTTTTTTTATTTTTATAAATTTATTTTTCATTGGTGTTCAATTTGCCAACATATAGAATAACACCCAGTGCTCATCCCGTCAAGTGCCCACATCAGTCCCCGTCACCCAGTCACCCCCACCCCCCGCCCACCTCCCCTTCCACCACCCCTAGTTCAGCCATGTTTTTAAATAAAAGGTTAAAGAGAACAAGATAACTTCTAATAATCAATTTTACTTAACCCAATATATCCAAAATATTATCATTTCAGAATGTAATCAATTTAACAATTATTAATGAGCAGGGCACCTGGCCAGCTCGGTTGGTAGAGCACCTGACTCTTGATCTCAGGAGTTTGAGCCCCACATTGGGTGAGGAGATTACTTCAGATCTTTAGAAATTATAAATGAGCTATATTTTTTTAATGCACACTGGATTTCATAAGACGTTTAAATACTACCATGGTAAGTACTTAGTATATACTTAGTGTGATTATTTAACATAATCAGTACACACGTATGCTTAAACTAAGGATACTCTTAATCCAGGTGTATTTTACAACTGATAGGGCACCTACGCTGCTCAGTGGTTGAGCATCTGCCTTTGGCTCAGGTCATGATCCTGGGGTCCTGAGATTCAATCCCAAATTGGGCTCCCCACAGAGGAGAGCCTGCTTCTCCCTCTGCCTATGTCTCTGCCCCTCTCTCTGTGTCTCTCATGAATAAATAAATAAAATATTTTTAAAAATCTGATAGTACCTCTCCATTCAAACACCAAATAGTATCAGAAATACTTGATCTGCATGTAGCTTTTGTAAAATTTGTAGGTGGAAAGGTAGATCCACATACTCAAGGTTTTCCAGGAGAAATGTTTCTCAGTAACTGAATTGTGTTATTTGTTTTTAAATTTAAGCAAATGGAGTGTATATTCTATTGAATGTCCAATTAAATAAACAATTGAACTGAAACAAATCAAAATTAGATAAAATGAAAAAAACGAGTTCCTCAGTCATACCTGCTAGTATGTCTAGGGCTTGACAGCCACAGGTGGCCAATGGCTACCATTTTGGACAGAACATTTCTGAGATCACAGGAAGTACTGTTGGGTGATGCAGCTCTAGGTCATATTTATGTGAAGCTGGGACAGGAAAATCACACAGCTTGTGGGAGGACATCTTCCTGGGATTCAGACCCATGTTTCCACGGCTCCAAAGTTTTGCCTTCCAAAGGCTATGCTACTCTTTATTTTTGCCTCCTGCACCGAAAGCTCTGAGGTAATAATTTTATTTGATTTTATTTTTAAAGATTTTATTTATCTATTTGAGAGAGAGAGACAGGGTGAGTGGGGGGAGTGGCACAGGGAGAAGGTCAATCAGACTCTGTGCTGAGTGTGGAGCCTGACGTGGGGCTCAATCCATGACCCTGAGATCATGACCTGTGCCAAAACCAAGAGTTGGATGCCTAACCCACTGAACCACCCAGGCGTCCCCTGAGGAAAGCATTTTATTAGGGGATGAAAGCAAATCTCAGCAAGCCCCTCACCCTCCCTGGGGCTGAGACTTAAGAGATTCTTAAGTATCTCTACAGTGGGTTAAACCGGATTATCTCTTTGCATTCCCCTCTGGAATCTCAAATTATTGGATTCCTTCTTCCCGTTACAGGCACAGAGATTAGAGGTCTAACCATGTGTTCTGGGCATGGCAGGATCTCAGGTGAGATTTGTAAATTCCCTGAGCCTCGACGTCCTCATTTACATGACTGGGGATAAGGGGCGGCTTATCCCTATTGTTCTTTATGATCATTAAACTAGAAAGTATTTGCAGAGGGCCTCGTGCATTGCAAATGTTTGGAAGATGTGATTTTCCTTCCCTATAAATCCCATTCTAGTTTCCAAAATATTTGGTTTGGGTAGGTTCTGTCCATGTTGGAAGACCAATCATAGACTCCTGGTGTTTCTTTCAAGTACCCCCAACACCATGAAAATCTTAACTCACTTCCTTGAAGGCGTCTCTCATCTCCTGGACACCGATCATCCCCGCTGTTTCCTCAAGGAGTTTGGGGGTCATCAGCTCTACAAAGTCCTCAAAGTCTACACGGCCACCCACTGAGGACAGAAGAGGCAGGTTTAGTAAGAGTCCATGTAACCAACCCTCCACTACCTCTCTGGACCCTTCCAGGTTGGTTTAAGAGGCAGACCTGCTCTGATCTCTCTGCCATCTGAGAAATTTCCCTCTCAGCCAACCCGGAGCCCAGGGTCCCTCTAATCCGAACCCGGGTGGATGGGGTGAAAGTAACCAGCTGTCCCTGTGACCTTGGGAAAAATCTCTTAATTGGTTCAGATCTCTGCTCATCTGTTGGTCTGTAGAAGGGGGAGCATGAATTGAGTGGGAGCCAAACCTCTTCCAGATAGAAACACAATCCTGTCTTTGGGTTCAACCTTGTTTACTCTGTGGCACGCCTTAGAGCAAAACCCCAGAGTGATTTTGTCCCAGCTTCCTTCTCAAAATGAGCTCTGGAACCCATCCCAAATTTGTTTCCAGAGGCAGATCGGTTCCAAGCTTGCCCTCTACCTTTGCGTCTCAGTGGTCATGGTATTAACTTACATCGATAACCGTTTACTGGAGGCTAAGCCTTGACCTGCATCAGCTCCTTCATCCCAATCCCACAAGGAGTGACAGATGGGAAAACTGAGACTCAGGAGTGGAAGTTGACTCCACTTTTCAAAAGCACGACAATCAGTACATGATAGAAGTGGGACTTGGACCCAGATCTGCCTCCAAGAGTCACCCTTTTATCCACTTCAAACGCTGCCTCCCCGAGTCCAGGCTGAACTGTTTGCTTCCAGACTCCTAGTGCTGCCTACCCTCTTCCTTCCCTGTGGCTCAGCCTCCACATCCCTCCTGCTTCCACCCCACCCACTCCCAGCAGTCCTCCCAGGCCCAGCCTCACAGTTCATGCGGATTTGCTGGCCCAGTTCAGTCAACTCCATCTCCGTGGGCATGTAACCCATCGTCCTCATGAGATTCCCTAAATCCTTACAGGAGATGAACCCATCTCTGTCCTTGTCAAACTCAAGAAATGCTTCCCGGAGCTCTGAAAGTTAAGAGAGAAGAACTTTGAGGGGACTCGAAACAGTCAATGGGGAAGACTGGCCATCCCTTGAAACCATCAGGGAGGTACTGACTAGAGACTCCAAAGGAGAAGATATCTTTGAAAACCAAAATTTTAAAAAAGGAGTGGTGTATGAAACATGGACAGAGATTGCAATGAGCAAGATTGAAATGTGCAAGAGGAATGATCCGTGAGACCGCAGAGTGATGGCACTGCGGTCCTCCAGATTCTGGGGTGACATTATGGGGACCTTCAAAACCTCCAAAAGAAAAACCAACAGTCTTGGATTCATCTTAAAACTCTTGCATCTGTCACTCCTGGGTCTCTGAGACGCTTGGGGATGGGTGTGCCTTCTAAACACTTTGGGAGGCTCCCAAGCGACTGTGTGAGAGAGTTCTACAAAATCATGGTTGAATAGGAAGAGAGAGGTGTGTGAAGCTTTCGTGGGAAGGGTCTACACTGAGATGCACAGGAGAGCAGCCTAGTGGCGGATGACAATGAGATGGCATTTGGGGCAGGGGTTACCTTCGATCTCATCTTGTCCCAGGGGTCTTTCCTGGAAAGGAATGTAGAGAGAGGGAATTTGAGAGGGTCAGGGATCCCATATCTACTTCTCCAAACACATCCCTCCCTCCTCTGGGCAACCCCTCCCTGACCCCTCCTTGTTCCCAGTTCTCCTCTAATTCCCCTCCTCTTTCTTCTCCAGCCTCCCGATTCCCACCCCTGACTGTGTGCTTCCCACCCTCTTCCTCATCACTTCCCATTTCCTCTCTCCTATCCCGGGATCTTGATCTCTGTCCCTCTGCCTTTCCTGAACAGACATCCATCCCATTGTGCTAGCAAGGGGTCTTCTATGTCTTGGCATCCCATCCCCTCCTTTCTTCAGAACAAGAGTAAGGCTCAGAATCACAGCTAATGAGCTCAGAGTGCCAACCCTGTGCCTGGTGCCCACAGTCACTTCACTGAAACCTCAGATCCACCCCAGGGGGTAGGACCACATAGCATTCCCATCTTTTTTTTTTTTTTTAATTTATGATAGTCACACACACACACACACACACACACAGAGAGAGAGAGAGAGAGAGAGGCAAAGTCACAGGCAGAGGGAGAAGCAGGCTCCATGCACCGGGAGCCCGACGTGGGATTCGATCCCAGGTCTCCAGGATCGCGCCCTGGGCCAAAGGCAGGCGCTAAACCACTGCGCCACCCAGGGATCCCCAGCATTCCCATCTTAAGAGGAAGCTGAGGAACAGAGAGGTTAAGGTTAAGGGACACAGCTCTAAGTGGCAGAGACGCTCCCAAGGCAGGGAGATATTAAATCACTCCCTGGAGGTCATGCAGCAGGTCAGGTGCAGCGAGGGCTGAGATTTGAATTTTGAGCCAAAATTCTTTCCACTACACCCTCTTGATTCCTTTCCCACCGCCCCCCATTCTTTCTCCCAAGGGTTAGAAGCTGTTTGCGTGGGGGCCAGTGTTCGGTGGCATCTGGGCAGGATGCTCACTGCCAGCATGACCAATTCTTCAACCAGCTAAGCATTTCCAATCCCTGATGCCACCACTGCTCTCAGACACACCTGAAGGGTCAGGCTGGGTATAAGGCACACCACCTGTGGACTCCACCAGCCTCTGGCCTCCCCCTTGTTCCTGGAGCCTTCCCCTGAGCTTCTTTCTCATGATGCCCTCCCCCCTCAGGCCCATCTCTCTATATCTCTCTCTCTCTCTCTCTCTCTCTCTCTCTCTCTCTCTCTCTCTCTCTCTCTCTTTCATCCTAAAGCCCAACAATGAAAAGTAAGCCCCCTGGAATCAAATAGACTTGATGGGACACTGCCACTCAGTAACTATAGAAGGCAAGGGGCTTTGTGACTCAGAGCCTCCATTTCCACATCTGTAAAGTGGGAACGCAAGTGTGGCCAACCGTGAATGTGGTCCTGAGGATGAAATGACAGCAGGAAAGCAAAGCCCTTTGCGTAGGGCTGGGTGCGTAGCAGTGCCTCAGTAAGAAGCAGCTGTGTCATCACCGTCATGGTTACAGGTGTCCAGAGAAATGAGAGGTGATGGACAGGGACATCCCAGTTCCCCTTTTATTTGCAGGTCTCCTCCCCTTCTCTCTTTTGCTGCCGAGTCCAGAGTTCACCTTCACTCACCTCATTGGCCCACTGAGCTCCCGGAGTTCTACCTTCTTGGTCAGGAGTCCCCCTGAGGCTGTGCCCCTTATCCCGGCCCCTTGCACCTGTCATGCCCCTTCTCTCCCCACACCCTGGCCCCCTTTGCCCTGTCCGTACCCTTCCCCACTGTCTGCCACCTCACCCGCTGTTTCTCAGCGATGCCTTTCCTCAGGAAGATGCAGGCGGGCCCCATGGGAAACTGCATGGAGGGGCAGGGCAGGGGCGCCAGGCAGCAGGCTCAAGTAGGCTCCCCCTCCTTCCTGTCCCCCTTGGTGTGCAGCCTCCTTATCTTCTCTGGTGCTCCTTTGCCAAGTCTTGCTGCCTCTCTTGGCTTCTCCCTCGGTCCCAGTGTCCGAGAGCTGTGACAGCTGAATCAGAAATCTCTCCTGGGGTTGGGGAGGGATCAGAGCTGTCCCTGCCTCCCCATCTGGCTGGAGTGGGGTGGAGGGGGAGCCGGTTTCAGGCTCTGACCTATTATCCCCAGAATAGAACTGAAGAGTTTCAAACCTGGGGATTAGAGCGGAGGGCATCCATTCATTCATGTTCCAGCAAGCCTGCTGGGTACTCACTCCGAGAGGGGCCTCTGCTGGCCTTCGGGTCTGTGCACATGTAGAGGACCTTGCCCCTGGCCTCAGGGCGCTGCCGTCAGCATGTGCCAGCGAGCAGGACGGAAGAACCTGAGTAACAGCCTGACTTGAGGAAGTGGGCACACATAGCGATTAAGAGGGTGATATCTGTGCTTCCTCTGCTCACCTCTTCCTCCCTTCGTAAATAATCTGGGGTGGGGTGGGGAGAGAGCAAGGTAGGCACCTGTGCTGGCCAGTGAGGGGGCTGGCAAGCGAGAAGTCGTGGTGATGTCACAGCCCAAGGAGGCCATGAAGGTCCTTATCTTGGGGGTTGGGAGGGGATCAGGATAGGGAGCCAGAGTTCGAATAGGATGTGGGAGTGAGGGGGGTGCCCAGAGGGGCAGCAGGGCTGAGCGTCTGGGCCTGGGGCAGTAAGGATGAGCCATGGGAGGGGAGCCTGACATGCCACGTGGGAGCACGAGCACGAGCAGAGTGAGGAGGTGTCTACACGCAGGTCCCGAGGATGTCCACTCACAGGGGCAGGCAAGGTGTAGGATGTGGACAACAGGTCAGGGTGAGAAGGGTGCCCCCGCTGAGCAGGATGGCAGCAAGGAAGAGAGAGGAGTTACACACAGGGAATCTACGAGGAATAAAGGGCAATCAGTTTCTCATGGATGCAGATGGGGAAAAGGAGGAGTCTGGTGTTGGATGGGAATCGGAGGCACTGGTTTGTACTGGTGGGTTTCAGGACAGACAGAGGGCTGTGACAGTAAACACAGACATCACAGGGTATGCAGGGACACTGGTACGTAGGTCATCGAGCTAAGAGGACACAGAAGCTGTGACATCCCTGGCATCCAGGGCTTGGCTTTTAAAATACCATTCTCCATTGAAAGGAACAAGTCCTGGGGGAGAGGGCTGCTCCCACGTCTGGAGCATGACAAGCAAGTCTAAGATGAGCCTAAAACGTCTTGCGCAGTAAAGCAAGGACAGAATTGTGGGGTCACGGAGAAGGATCCCAGAGGTCACCCTGAAGAAGCTCCCCTGGCAATTTGAGAATCCAAATAAATATCAACAGGTTATATGGGAACACGGGAAAGCAGGAGTCCACACAGACAGAACTGTGCCAGGTTGGATAACATTTATTTGCGTCGCACAAAATATCCTCTTACGATATACTGACTGCAGAGGGGTCACTTTACATGGGGGCACCAAGCAGACATCACCTTAATCAAGTGATTAAAACGAGCATTGTCAGATGTGACAAACTGAAATTATATATTTGATTCACGTGCAATCACGAACAAGCCAGCTGCCCACCTTCCCTGCTGCCCCTCCTCTGCACACACTTTCCGGGACTCTGCTCCGAGCACTGTCTGCCCTGGGATCTGGACAAGTTCTAGAAGCAGCATTTCAACCAGGGGAAGATGTTCCAGCTGCCCGCCTGTCCACCCTGAGCTCATCCCCTCCCTCACCACCTGCATCGCCAGCCATCAGCAGGATCTTGTCATTCCCACACCTTCCAGTGGGGTGTGGAACTGGAATGTTCCACATCCCCGAGGGGGCATGTGAGGCTCCCCATGGGCAGCGCTGCCAGCACAGGGCCTCCTGCGGACCGTCTGGACCAAATCCTGGCCCTCCATCTAGTAGACAGTGGATGTAAGGAAAGTTATTTGCATCTATGTGCCTCAGTGTCCCCCATCTGTCAAATGGGGTAATAAAAATTCCTATCTGGTGGGACTGTTGTGAGGGTCTTTGGTGAGTGAGGACATCCCTGCCCAGCCCCGGTGGAGGGCTGTGGCAGCCACAGCTGCTGGGGATGGTGTGTTCACAGGGGTCTGCAGGGGTGAGGGGAGGAGGAGCGTGTCCCTGGCCCCACTTTCCTCAGGAAGACTGGGTTCCATGCCTGAAGGGACCATGGGCTGTACACAAAGCCAGACGGACATGGGCAACCCCAGACACACAGCATGTAACACACACGTTATTTCACCTTAAACACGGAGTTTGTAAGTATGGCTGCACGTTACCTTGTCGGTCCTCTTTGGTACAGCTGTATCGGTTAGGAACTTTTTTAGCCGTTGATGAGCAAAGGCCATTTTCACAGTGCAGCCACACTGGGATTTGGTTGCACCCAATAACTATTCCCTCGCCTCTGCTCCACCCCCACGACCAGAAGCCTGCTGGGCAGCAGCTGGCCCCCGGGGCCACCATCTAAGGGCTACTTTCCCTGGATCTGCTGGCTATGCCTCATGGTCACAAGGTGGCGGCCCCAGCTCCAACCATCGATTCCCAGTCCAGGCAGGTGGGAAGGCAGGGCTGCCCAACCAGGTCCCCTTTTTGATCAGGAAAAACAGCACCGACTACATGGCAGGCACTGTGAAGGGGCTGAGGATCTACAGATGAGCAAACCAGGTCCGGCCAGTGGCTGGCTGCCCTCACGGGTGAGGCTCCAGAATCCGCGGTCCCCAGTCCATGGCTGGCAGAGCTGGGGGTCTTACACACTCACTGCACTGTCTCGCAGGAGGACAGGGCCCGGAGCCAGGCTGCTGGGTCAGAACCCTGGCACTGGCACCCCCGCTTCAGGCCTGGGTGCCCATCTCCCTGTTCTGTGCGCCCCCCCACCCCCACCCCAGTGTCTGCGAAGCAGGTTACCTGAGTTAACATTCAAGTCTCGGCTGCCACTGGCCCATACAACAGCCACCAACCAACCGCATGTGGCTGCTTACAGGAAAATTAAAGAAAATGAAATGAAATGAAACACGGCCATGTTTCCAGCGCTCAGCGGCTGCACGTGGCTGGTGGCTATCCTGCCGCTCAGCACGGATGCAGAACACCTGCAAACCTGTGGAGAATCTACGGGAAGGTGCTGAGTCAGACAGTTCCTAGCACGCTGCTGACCACACACTCCACGCGGGAGCTACCGGAGCTGTCACCCCAGAGCCCAGCACAGACTCCAACACTACAGTGGGTGTTCAATAATTATTTATTGAAAAAAATGATCCAAAAACCCCCTACCCCCAGCTTAAACCATTCCCTCACACACGCACACACACCTGACACTCAAAACCCACACGACCCCAACACCGGATCTGCTGACCAACAGGACACCCACCCTGCACCACCCAGCCCCTGGGAGGGTGGGAGCCTAGTAGAAATCTGAGTCAGAGTCTAAGTCCGCGCCCTGCTGGTTCTGAATCTGACTCTGCTTCATGTACAGGCAGGCCACCTGAGGAGAGTGGGTGGGGGTGGGCGGTTAGAAGCCCCAGGTCTGCCTCCCACCCCTCATTCCAGAATCCACCACCAAGAAGCTAAGGCCTCACCTGGCCACTGGTGGTGGCCTCCTCTGGCTTCTTGTCTTCACGGACGCGGACAAACCGAGGAAAGCGAAGGGAGATCCCCTTCTCACTATCCACCTGGGGGAGGGGGAGATGATGGAGACCCTCCTGGGGTCTAGCCGACAGGCCACTCAGGGCAGCAGTTCCCCATCCAGGGTCTCCTCCCTGCTCCTGCCCTCCAGTTTCCTGACCCATACAATGGGGCCAAGCAATGGATTATAAAGATTAAATACGATATAAAGCCCTATCTTAGGACCATACCTGGAGCATTATAAGTGCTTAAGAAATGCTGGTACCATAGTGTGGTCTAGGCTGTTGTTCTGTTACTATTCTCAGGGCCAAGCAGCAGGACAGCAGAGGCAGACTGCAGACTTGAGAACCAGATGGCAGGGTTCAAATCCCATCTCCCAACTCAGAAACTGCATGACCCCGGGCGAGTGACCTCAGCTCCCAGGCTCTATTGCCTCAGCTAGGGAGGCTCAGTGCTTTGTGAGGATGGAAAGGTGCACTCAAGTGCCGTACCTGTGAGCACAGCACCCGCTTCATACAGAAGCTCCATAAACGCTGCTCCTGCCACTTGTCTCCAGGGAACCCTAACTGCCTAATGTGGAGTCTGAGACATTTCAAGACAGAAATTCAATTTAAAAATATGAGTTCTGGGGTACTGGGGAGCTCAGTGGTTGAGCGTCTGCCTTTGGCTCAGGTCATGATCCTGGGGTTCTGGGATTGAGTCCCACATCGGGCTCCCTGCAAGGAGTCTGCTTCTCCCTCTGCCTATGTCTCTGTCCCTCTGTGTCCCTCAGAAATAAATAAAATTTTTTTAAAAATTTTAAAATAAAAAATAAATTAAAATATGAGTTCTGGGGCGCCTGGGTGGCTCTAGCAGTTGAGCAGCTGACTCTTGGTTTTGGCTCAGGCCATGATCTCAGGGTTGTGAGGCTGAGCCCTGTGCAGGACTCAAGTCTGCTTCTCCCTCTCCCTCTGCCCCTTCTCACTTTGTACTCATTCTTTTTCTCTCTAAAATAAATAAATCTTTAAAAAAATGAATATATGAGTTCTGCCTTTAAAGGAAGTCCACTTCTAATCAGAAAAGTGCATGCTACCTAGATTTTGAAAGATTGTAGGAAATCACAAAGAAAGCACATTTCTTCTGGAGAAGGCAGAGAGCTGCCCTAGCACCGGCCAAGGGGCAGTGTACCCAACTGTCTGCTGACCCTTTGGCTGGCATTGAGGGCTGAACCACTGGTGAGAGTGATCAGCCCAGGGAATTTTATTTTATTTTTTTAAGATTTTATTTATTTATTCATGAGGGGTGGGGGCAGACACAGGCAGAGGGAGAAGCAGGCTCCATGCAGGGAGGCTGATGTGGCACTCGATCCAGGGACTCCAGGATCACACCCCGGGCCTAAGGCAGGCGCCAAACTGCTGAGCCAGCCAGGCATCCCAGCCCAGGGAATTTTAAAACGTGGTAGCATGAAAACAAATTATGGTTCAAAAAGACGAGCCACAGCCCGCATCACTGCTCAGCAGGAAGTGTCCCAAACTGTTACTCAGAGGAACTGTGTTTTCAAAAATCAGTGAAGAGGGATCCCTCGGGGGCGCAGCGGTTTGGCGCCTGCCTTTGGCCCAGGGCGCGATCCTGGAGACCCGGGATCGAATCCCACATCGGGCTCCCGGTGCATGGAGCCTGCTTCTCCCTCTGCCTGTGTCTCTGCCTCTCTCTCTCTCTCTGTGACTATCATAAAAAAAAAAAAAAAAAAAAAAAAATTAAAAAAAAAAAATCAGTGAAGAGCCAAATGTGAGATTAGGGTATTAAAGGAAACAATTTGACTGTTTACTTTTTGTACCTGGGGAATTTCTCTTTTCTTTTTTTTTTTTAATTGAGACTCTGACCCTGTTATCTGACAGCCAAATAAAAAGCAAGCTCAAGCTTTCCTAGTTACTATCAGCCCGGAGCACAGGCGTCATCCTCACGAGCCCCTGCTCCTCATTTCCCATCTGGAAGGTCGACCCTGCGTCCCTCCTGCTGCCTGGAGCCTGAGGTGTTCCCCCTTCCTCTACCCCTGCCCGGCCTACTCACCAGGCCCCGGGCAGCAGGGTAGATGGGCGACAAGGACAGATCCGCACACTTCACCTCCCACACGGCGCTGGGGTCCAGCCAGTGATCGGGGGCCACGGCACCGTCGACCCGGACATAGGAGCGTGGGGTGGGCAGCACCAGGGCCTGCAGAGAACAGCATCGGGGAACAGCAGTGGACATGAAGAAGAGAGAGGGTCTTAGGTCTCAAAGTCAAGGCTGGGGGGTTGGGGCATCAGGGAGGGAGGAGAGAGGGAAAAAAATGGGGAAGGGGATAGATGGCAACACAGACATGTCTTAAGGTAAGAGCTTGGGTGGGGATGAGGGCAATGGTGAAAGGAAGAAATGAGACAGAGACCTGGAGAGAGAGAGAACCAAAGAATGTCACAGAGATAGAAGTACCAGCACACAGGGAAGGGAGTCGTACCCCCAAATACCCGTGACCATGCAACACTCCCAATTACTAGGGGATTCACTCAAGGCCAACTCAGGGACCCCTGCGATAGTGCTCCCCTGAGACGCATCCCCCAGCAGCGGAGGCAGGAGGCAGGCTCCCTGACCCAAGTCCTGGGCGCTGTAGCAGCCGGCAGAGCTGAGACTTGAACTCTGGACACGGGGGGCTCTGGAGCCAGCTCCACCACCACAGAGTGTGCCATGAGAGGTGGAGAGGCAGGCTGCTCACCTGGAGCCTCTGGTAGTGCTCCTCCAGTTCCTCGTCACTGAAGCCAGTTCCGAGCTGCGGGGAGGACAGGGAGGGGCAGGTCAGAGGTGCAACCAGGGGCTGAGTATTCCCCACTTGCGTCCCCCCTCTCCCCCAACCCCTGCTCCTGCCACTGAGGACTCAGATTTGTGCATACCAGAGGCCCCCATCCTACCCTGGCCACAGAAACCATAGAGGAAGGGCTGGGCAGGGGGAGGGTTGCTGGGCGCAGACCCCGGGTGGGGTAACATCTCTCCCAGGGGCATCCCCTGGCCTACCTGCTGCCCTGTGCTTGACGTAGAAGCCCTTGTTCTTTCCGCTCCATCCCCCTGGCCCAGGTGTCGCTCCCTTGGGTTCCCCGAGTCCCACCTACTCTGGAACAGGATGTCCTCTCCAAACTCCACATGCCAGAGATTTTCCTTCACCCACCCAAATTGTCAAGCCTAAAAAAACCTCGCTACCAGCAAACGTAGTAAGATGCATATCTTCAAACCACGGATATAAACATCAACCGGAAAGCCCTTTCTGAATGGAGAGCCTTAAATATCTTCTCGGGCAGAAGCTGTTTCACAGAAAACCGTTCTGGGTAAATAGTGTGAAATGATCCCGGACCGGTGCCCTATGATCTCTGCGAATTGTTAAGACCTCGTCTGTCACGGGTCACCTGGGCTAAGCATCGTGTGCAGTGCTGATTTACTCTCAAGAACACAGCAGGCCACGAGCACAGGGAGCTGGTTCAGGAAACAGAGCACATCTTCCACAAACAACTGTGAAAAATTCTGGGCAACCTCGCTAAAACAGAGGCAGAGGCCAGTAGAGAGGGTCCCCCTAACTGTCGGTTACAGGAGGGATTGTCGCTTACGGAGCCCAAACCAACATTCAGTGATAGGCTCCAACAGAAGAATCCATCAACAGGAAAGAACCATCCATGACAGCCCCCCCCCCCCGGGGGGAGAGACAAGACTTTGATCTGAGAACAGGACCAACCCAGCAACTCAGCCCCTGAGAAACCCTCATCCCTCTGAGCTGCTTTTTTCCCCCAAGAGTTTCATTCAAAACAACTCCTCTCACTTCCTCCTTCTTCCCATAAAATACCACTATTTTCCTTTGCAGGAGGAGCCTACGGTTTCGCCAAGGCTTGTATGTCCCAAAATGCAACTCTATGCTATTTCTGAACAAACCCATTTTTGCTGGTAAAATAACAGACTGTTTTATTTTTAAGTTTAACACATTCATGTGCTTCTAAAAGTCCTGAAGATGAGGGCAAACACTAACGTTTTTTATCACCATGTTACTTATATGTATCTGACAGTATTTAAAACATGGGATTTAGGGGACACCTGGGTGGCTAAGTGGTTGAGCATCTGCCTTTGGCTCAGGTCATGATCCCAGGGTCCTGGGATCAAGTCCCATGTCGGGCTCCCTGCATGGAGCCTGTTTCTCCCTCTGCCTATGTCTCTGCCTCTCTCTCTGTGTCT